TCATACATGATAAAAGCATTTATTAGGTTACAACAAAGTTAGAGGAGCTTTTTTTTTTGTTGACGGAGTGGATCTCCGGCTCCTTAGGCGTGGCGATTCCACTAAAAACTTCGACGGCCAGCCTTAGGCGCCCTGCTCTGGGGAGAACCCGGGCCATGTGATTTCAGGTCCCCCCAGATCGATGCCGCACCTAACTAGGCCCCATCTCAGGGAAAGCCAGGGGCTTCTCAATGCCTCTCAGCCTATCCAGATGTTGCGGCCCGATCACATTTTCAGTGCGATCAGGCTGCCATAGTTATAGGAGCTAACTTCATCAAAGTTAATGGTTCGGGGACAGTCAATGCTACCACTCAAGACGTAACATGCTGTTATTAAATATAAGTTGTCGATTCGGAACCTTTATGTAAACCCAAGTGTATCGTACAAACGGACGGGGCTAACAATTTGTTTGTTTTTTGGCAGGAACAATTTAAATTGTTTTTAGCCGGCGAAAATAAATTGTTGCGCTTATTATTTTCATCGCTTTTTTTTCTATATTTCTCATAGTTTCATCTTTCCCTGGAGTTCCACAAATATCTCAAGACCAAGATTATCTAAATAGGTCCAGCCGTTCTCGAGTTTAAGCAAGACTAATGAACAGAAATTCATTTTTTATACATATAGAGTAGATCACAGAAACAAAATACTTGAACAATGAACAAAAAATTATGCAAATAGTTATAAAAAGTGACTAAAAACAAAGTCCAGAAAAGTAAAGTCAAAGTATCTTTATTTCATTTAAAAAAACGTAAAAAAATATTCGAAATCGTCCTTTATGTGTACTGTAAAGTTATACATACACACACGATAGCAACAATATGTTCTGCCAAATTTTAGCCAAATGTATCCAATCCATTCCTTTTTTTTACGTGTGGAAACCCATCGGGCCGTCACCCCACCGGGGTTTGAGGCGGGGTGGTGTGTCGGAATCGGACCGACTAAAACCACACGGTGTGCCACTCTGCGCCTGTGATAGAAGGGATCCGGGAACTGCTGTTATTAAGACATGCGGATCGGAAACGGGCGGTTCTAGATCATTAAATGCCTGTGCCAATCTATAACCCGTTTGTACACAAGTCAACAGAGAACTTGATATATTAATCATAACTCATGACCACAGATAGCGTAGCATAGTGTTGCACGTACGTCAATAGTTATAAGCTTTTAAAAAAACGTAATATTATTGTAGTTGTATTAAGTTAGTAATTTATATTAAGCTGTATGCTGTGTTTTCGTACAGTTTTTTTTTTTTTTTTTATTAAATGACTTCAAATAGTCAAGTTAAATGTTTTTTTTTGGTACAGCAGGACTTTAATTGTTAATGCTATTAACACATTGCATTTTTATCAAGCGCGTTTCAGTTGACTCAGTTTATTTTTGTACACCGCTTACGCGAATGTTTCCTGAATATTTAATTTACTTGTGTACGTGGAAAGGGGCGACAGCCCCTCAGCGTTGTTCGTTTCTCGCAATTATTGTTCACCGCTACCGTCTTTCTATACAATTAATGTGGTTATTCATAAAGGCGTTCAGCAGATTTTGGCCCAGTTAGAGATACCGCAGACCGGAGTTATGCTACATACATGGGGGAATTAGCAGAAGAGGATGAAGCTTTTGGAAGTGGCATAGTAACGTGGTGGTAGCTTAGTGCAAAATATCATCATCATCATCAATCATCAACAGCCTATACTAGTCCACTGCTGGACATAGGCCTCTCCTTAGAAAGGAGGTTTTGGCCTACTATACCACGCTGGCCAGACGGGTTGGTATAGGGTTTGTTTCAAGTTTTCCTTCTCTCTCCTTCTCTTCTTTTCCTTCTCCAGTGCAAAATATAAAGCAAGTAAAATAAACCATCAGCCATTCACCGCAGGTCATAAGCGTTTTATAGCCACTGTTCCACTTCTCAGACTTTAGATGTTACCCCTATAATCTTCTTCACAGAATAGCCTCTAAGTTAGAAACAACATACACAAAGAAACTAAAAATCAAGTAAGGTTTGTCAAAGGCAACATTTTTCAATGTGTCAATCTTTCATTTCTGACAGAACTGACATGACACGTCAATGTGCCACGTATCCAACGACGCGTCTATAAAATTTTACTTACAATAACTATGCTAGTACTTATCAACTAATACTTATCAACCTGTGTATCATAAAAAACCTTTAATGTTGCTTCAGAAAATAGGTGGACCCTCAGTGTACACTATGGTGGATAGAAGCCACCTCAGTACTGATTTGATAATATAACAAATTTTTATCCGTTTGTTCGTCTTTTATGAGGCACAAGTTTGCCAAAGATATAACTAAACTAGTACAAGACAACTTATATACCTACAGTTTTTTTTAATCGATCAATTTAAATACATTTTTACGCGGTAGAAACCGTTATTATTATAAAAATAACTAATTTGGAACCTTAACTAATATTGAATAAGGTAGAAATTATTTTCATCTAACAACAGACGTTTTAGATTCACTCTTTGTTGCATGTGTAACTGTTGTAGGTTCTCTATAATGTATGAGCATACGTTTATTTTTTTAAACCTATGGCCCAGTCACACGTTACTGATAAATATTAAAAGAATACGTTCCCCATCTAGACTGAAATCTTGCTTGGGTCCAATGTTTAGGTAAAAATTTAAACCACATACATATGTATTATCATCATTTTTGTGCTCCTATACGCAATTTGATAATCAATGTAATATTTTGAAAGCGTTTGGTTGTTTTTTTTTTTTTGCTTTTATGACGGCCTTTCCTGTCCTATGCCAACCCTGGAAATGTAATCATTGTCGGACACGACAAAAGAAAAAATTAAATTGGGGCAATTAAAAAGAAATCCGTTGGGGAAAACGAGTTCTTGAGTGGAGACCGCGTCTCGATAAACGTAGTGTAGGACGCCCACAGGCCAGGTGGAGTGACGATTTGCGCAAGATGGCTGGCAGGAGCTGGATGCGAGAAGCCCAAAATCGATCTAAGTGGCGTGCAATGGGAGAGGCCAATGTCCAGCAGTGGACTGCGATAGGCTGATGATGAAAAAGAAATCTGACGAGGGAGTTAATAGTTTAAATTAATATTCATCATCAACAGCCTTTAACAGTCCACTGCTGGACATAAGCCTCTCCTTAGAAAGGAAGTTTTCATTTTGAAATTAATATTGTTCCCAGTATATTAGTTGTCTTCCCAAATGAAGTGTTAAAAAGCGTGTATGGGCCGTGGGCAATGTTATATTGTATTTTTGAACAAAGCTCTCAGCGAATGGGATCGAGACCGAAATATGTGTAATAAGACTTTTTCCGACACTTCAGTTGGTGCTTTGATCGTCATCGTCACATCTTTTTCATATTTCAACGTCTACCAAAAAGCGAAAGGCACTTCGTTCCGACCGGGGGTACATAGACCCCTCATGCTGATTTTTTATTATTATTATCTACTTTTAATAACAAAATTGGCCATTTCCTTTAAATGTTAGTTCTTTTCATGACATAAAGAACTTCGACCAACCACTTCCACAGGATATTGATGCATGTGCTTATTCAGTTAACGGGGAAACTTATTCATTAATTCATGTACTAACAGATTTACACCAGAAATAATACCGAATATACACCAACGTGGCATTACATCCAGGACAGGCATTACACATGGCCATATTTGGCCAGATATCCTGCCAACCAACTTCTAGGTTGTCCGGATGTCAAGTTTCCGGTATCCGGCATATACAGCTATCCTTTTCATCTCTATAAATAAGGTTTCCAGCAAGTTATTTTCTCTTGATATACTTAACGGTGCATATGATTGAGAAGCAAATGATGAGATAGCAGAAACGGGTCATCGAATAAATCACTCGTGTATAACGTTGATACGTTTATAGGAACAGGGGGGCGTACGCTATTCAGATATACCCACTTAAGTCCTTGGACATGCAAAAAAGTAAAAAGGGCAGCTTTTAATGAAATATACTCTTAATTTTACCGGATTATCCGTTTTCTGGACGAGCTTTAGAGATATTTATTATCAGTAAAGTAGCCGTAAAATACCTATATTTACGGTTTATAAAATTTTTAAGTACTTTTTTTTTCTTTTCTTTTTAAAAGACAACTCTCGCATTAGGTATATATCCTGTGTCGCGGAAGACTTTACAAACATTGATAAAACGGACACAAAGAATATTCACACTCGAACAACAATTTGTAGATCACACAAAATGTCTACGCAATGCGTACAGTCAACTTATTTCATTTCATAACTTCTATTAAATAGGTCATGTTTTGTACGCTGGGTGAGATCTCAGGATCTAACACTTCAAGTAACATCAAGTAATCATTATAGCTAAAATTGAAGGCAAGTTATTTTGGAACTATCTTGGTATTATTTATTCACAACTTCAGCTAAAATGACTTTAACAATTTGACTGACTTTATAAAGCACGTTAGTCTAAAGGTTAGTGATCTTGACTGTTAAGCCAGACAGCGTGGGTTCGATACCCACCCAGTCACCCAATCTCTCATTCCATTGTTAAGTGGGTACCTACTCTACTTCGAAGGATTACAAGAAAGCTGTCATTATGTTTATTTCTAAGTTTGAGTTTGATATTTGAAAATTTATGTTACTATTTTTAAACGAAGCGCTTTTAAATGTTATGGTGGCTTAAGAAGCTTTTAAACACGCAGTGGCTTGTTTTATGTTCGGCTTCGGTTTTAGATCTTAGATTCTATACCTTAAATTCTGCATACCTTAAATCTCATCATAGTATTAGACTTCTGATGACGATAGTTCATCCTGCGTCGTCCCATGTTTGTTATCCGGTCCGTACCATGATCGAATATTTATTAGGAGTTTCTATATACTTGCTACTTTATTACCTTCTCTCGTCTAAACGATTACTTTTTATATATGCCCCATAAAACATACCTGAAACAAAACAAAAACGATTACGAAACTTACAAAGCACTAAAATTTACATGATATACTTTCTGTAACCTATAAAGCAAAATTTTGGCGTACACGCTACGCTCGTTGGCAACAGGGCGGTATGAAGCCGCGATGGCGGAGGGGTGGCTATGACGTCAGCCAGGTCGTCGAACTCCAAGGTCATGCCGCGCCGCGCCACGCCACCCTCAGTACCCACGCGTTGTGGTAATTCCGGCTGGCATTTTTTTTCGGCGTCGTACCTTGTCATGCGAAATAGTTATGGATTTCAAATCCAATCAAAACCGGATGTCTGAGTTTATTAAAGACTGGAGTTATGTAACTCCTAAAACATCATCTAACAAACTAAATACTAGGAATTCTGAATTACACAAGTACAAATCACATATTCTTGTTTAACGAGTACATTTATTTCACTTATTTCTGAGTTTTTTTTTCACATTTCGTTGTATTGTTTGTTTTTTTTTTTATGTGGGGCTTTGGGGACACCACACCAGCTTTAGGTAGTTAGCAAATAAGCAAACAGCTGATAATAAAATTAGCTTGTTAGTAGAAATCACAATTTCAGGTGAGTTGAAAGACAAACGTCTCTCCTAAATAAAAAGTAGTAGGTAAAGGTTGAGCTGTCTGAATGGAGAACAACAAAGTGCAGAAAGGGTATATTCTAGCCCCTATAGAACTACATTGGGGTAGGCTGTTGCCAAGACCGGTAGTCGTTTTAGATGGGCCGTCAGCTTGCTTGCCAACATGTATAAAAACTGCACAGTGGTCATTTATTTCTGTATGCCCAAAGATTGATTTAATTTTTATTAAAATCAAGTATCTTTCTAATAGCGTTTTGTGTGTAAAACTCGATAGATTGTTGTGAGGAACTAAGAAGTATCTGTAGCATGATTTTAAAAGCAAAATCAGAGTATATTTCTAGTACTTGATTACACTAAGGCCTTTAGTAGCTCTATGCTATCACTACAACCGATTCCCCTACGGAGCTATCACAGCCCATTCTGCCATATAAAGCATTTTATTATTCGCAAACTTTATAGATTTCCGATGTAAAAGATTCCCAATTTAACATTGTTTACGTAAAAATACAGAAGATGCGGCCATTCTTACGGTTTTATGACAAATTGATCCAACAATACAATGTGTTGGATGCTGTTACAAATATCATTAGTTATTATTATAATACTGGCTTTTAGTAACTAAATTATATGCTTCTATGAAAATTAAAACCAGACAGAACGGCAAGGTTAAATCATTTAATAATGGCAAATTTGTATTTGTTAGTTTACATTAGTTTTTAATATGTATTGTATGCAAGGAAAAATTTGGTCTTGCTTAAGTCAGAGACCCATATCTGTAACCCAAAATGTCTGATTTATATTATTTTACTGTAACCGAATTAAAAACCTCCTTACTAAGGAGAGGCCTATATCCAGCAGTGGATTATTCAAGGCTGTTGATGTGAATTAAAAACTTAAGACCCCAAAAAAGGTTAGAATGTGCGATTACTTCTAAATATATTTTTTTCCCCTACTTTAGTTGAAGCTAGTGGTCCTTTGACAGACCATGTTACATTTACAAATCAACCAGCCCATTGATGATGAGAGGTTACTGACTATAAACATCGGGAACACCATTTTTATGTGCAGGGTGTTGACTTTTCTATCGATGGACTAAAGCTCATCACGCTTATGAGGCCTCGATTGGATCAGACGAAAGATTTTTTGCGGGAGCCACGAGGTGTGCCAGCAGTCGCCCCATTTTGTCATTTTAATAGCAAATATTGATATAACTTCCTTCAAGACTGTTGACTGACAATTCTGCAAAGACTGCATAGGTCGTCTTAATATAGTTGCCGCAAAAAGTAATCCGCTTAGTAATATATTTACCAAGGCTTACAATAATAGTGTTTCATAAAAGATTTTGTAAAGTTCTAGGAGCCGTTACGCAGGTAACTTATCGGGGGTAACACATGGTAACTTTAAGAGCAAGCTTTATTCATTTAAATTAGTCGAGTCACCATTGTGTCAATGCTCAACACCTAACTCTCACTATGAACAGTCTGCTCATCATATCCTCTGGGAATGTAGTCTTTGGTATAATGAACGTAATATAATGCTGAATAGCTTGCAGGTGACATCTGGGGCGGTATACTATGGGGATCTTGTGTCAACTAGGGTGAATTTCCGTGCGTTTAGGCGATTCTGCCATACATATTATAGAAATCAAACATAGCTCACGTAGGACCCGTAATATTTGTGGCCGTGGTGCTTCCCTGTTTAAAAGGGTGTATGCCCATTTTACTTCATTTTGTCTCCCGCTTTGCTAAGGAGGGAAGTGGATTTACTGTATTTCCAACTCCTCCAATTTTCTTCTGATTAATTTCGTTGCGGGTTCCAAGACAGTTTAATTTCTTCCTGGGACTTCCCGAGTGTCATAGCTCGGTGTGTTCGTGGGTCACTGCTGTGGATCCTGGTGTACAGGAGTTACAGTGGTGGGCGTGTGGGTGGGATTAGTCCCATTTTAAAGCCGTTACGCAGAATACCGAATCTGTAGGGTACATATTTGTAGACTTTTTACAAAACGTGGCTGCCACAATGCTTGTTAAAAATAATTATCCCTTTTGTCAACCCTGCAGCCTATTTACACAGGCAACGTGTTTGTCCATCGCCCGTTGTCCCGCGGTTGCATAAATTGAATCCTGTTTGTACTCATCCCTAGAATTAGTTTTCAGCAGCCAAATTTGAGCCTTATCTGTAAGATATAAAGCACTTTCTTGTTTGTGATATGTTTCTGCTGACTGCACAAGCAATCGTTTTGAAACGTATTTATATTGCGTTAAGGTTGATTTTCGAGTTCCACCCCTTTTACTTTTAAGTATATAAGATTTATAAGCCGATATGTATATCACATAGTTTGTTGCTCATAGTAATCGTTTGTTTAAGAGATTACACCAACGTTATGATGATAATGTGGATGAAATATGGTTTGTTTATGTATTTTTAGGGATGCGACGCAAAAAAGAAATCCCCGTGAACTAAGTAAACAAGCTTTCATCATCATCATCAACAGCATATAATAGTCCACTGCTGGATATAGGAATCTCCTTAGAAAGGAGGTTTTGGCCTACTACCACGCTGGCCAGACGGGTTGGTATAGTGTTTGTTTCAAGTTTTCCTTCTCTTTGCAGTGCTGTTGTTCTGCGTAGTTTGCTTCCTTAGTCGGCTCTTACGACACCCACGGGAGGAATAGGGGTGGTGACACTTCGTATTCTTAATCCGTCACCACAAGCTTTAACAGTCAGTAAATAATTAAGTAATAATAGCTACTTACACCAGATCGTTAAGCTATTTTAAATTAAACTAAGATTAAACATTCTAGAGAGATTGTGGCTGCATTTTGAGGGCAAATGGTTGAAATTGCAGTGACTCTAGTGTGTTTAGTTGGAGATGTACTACGACAGCGTGTAACGTACTGGCTAGGTTTGCTAGATTTGGTTTAGCGCAAACTAAATTAATGCAATTCTAACTGAGTTTCACAGCGAGGCTATGAATTCTGCTATATACTATACTAACTTCTTTATAAAATGAATTACGGTTAGCGTTTTACGCCCATATTCATGAACATAAAAGAGGGACGTTTATTTCGCATACTGTAAGCGAATTCTAAACTTTATGAATAGATATTACTATCCTATGGTCGCCGATCGCCATATTTATTACGCAGTATAACAAACATAAATACAGTAGGTATTTTGAATTATATCCATACTTATGTTAGAAATGTGACAGCGAGATTGTTTGTTACGCTTCACGCCTAAACCACTAAACCGATTTTTAAATTTCTTTCACCAATGGAAAGCTACACAGGCTACTTTTTGCGGACAAAAGCTAATGAGGATATAAAGGAGCTTTTACTCTATGTGAAAATACATTTGGAGGAGTACTTTTTATGGTATAGGAGGGCAAACAAGCGGACGGGTCACGTAATGGTGACAGCCGCCCATAAACACCTGCAACACCACTTTGCGGTCCCCAGAATCAGGAGGAGGAGAGGTTTAGCCTCCTGACTCGGCATAAAATAAGTAAAGAACTGCTTAACAGCTGTGTTCTGTGAGGCCGTGGTAAACAGGCCAGGTGGAGTGACGATTTGCGCAAGATGTCTGGCAGGAGCTGGATGCGAGAAGCCCAAAATCGCTCAAAGTGGCGTGCTATAGGAGAGGCCTATGTCCAGCAGTGGACTGCGATAGGCTGATGATGATGATGATGGCTTTCCCACGATTAAACTAATAAGATAACAATAACTATTATGAATACGTATATTCGCATAGTTACCCACATAAAAAGAGGAGCAACTTTTCAGTTTTGACTGCACGGATGGCGTAGTGGTTTAAGCGGTCGCCACGCAGCTTACTTCTTCGCTGTGTGTTATGGGTCCGGGTTAGATGTATGTTTGTAAAGGCCACGCGACACAGGATACATTCCTAATGAGGGAGTTGTTGAGACAAATAATCGCTTGAGGTTTTGAGTGTGTATTTTACAATAACTTCGTCATTTATAAACCGATTTCAATATTATTTTTATAGTGTTGATTGTTCTCAAGGTTATTCTCATTTAAATAAAAAAAAAAAAACTACCTTTGAGTGTAACATTAAGGTACATTAGATTCGATGGAACATTTAAAGTCAATTAAATTCGTGAATATCATACCACATTGTCATTAATTTGATAAAGCTATGTCAATCTTAAGTGTGAACTGAAACTACGGAACGTATCGATAAAACCTTGACTCATACTCGTAATTTATTATAATCATACTAAATAGTTCATCTCGAAGTTACTTATAGGTTAAGTACGGGTACGTAAAGGGTATGTAAACATTGAAACAGACAGACTTGACCTGAAGGGTTGAGTCCTAAACCAACACAGCAGACCTGTGTCAACAGGAGAAAGGACACGCAACACATTGCAGAAAACAGCGGATTAGTACTTCAGCGGTATGCAATACCGTACTCTGAGCTCAGACTGACTTTATAGACAAAGATCTACGAGCACTTTACGATTGCTCGGATATTTCGGCAAGTGGCGATGTGAAGAGAACTCTAAATATCTGTAAACCGTTTGACATCGATAGCTAATTAAATACAGGTTAGTTGCAAAGCAGTTACAACTTTAAATTCAAAATCGTGATGTCCACAACGGGGTGCTGGCAAACTTCGACTGTTTTGGTCTAACATCATCCGACTTA